GGAGGCAACAGGGCTCCGGCAGCCTCGGAGGCTCCCACGGCTGGGGCCTGGGATTCCCCTCGGCCTGTGCGTGGCGGCCAGGGGCAGACTCACCTCGGCGTCTTCTTTGCCCTGCGGGAGCGAGGGAAACTCCAGCTTCACGTCCTCCATGATCCCGGCCGGCGGACTGGTGGGTGGGGTGGGAGTAGAGTGATTCGCCAGCCCGACCGTCGGGCCGGCAGCGGCGGTAGAGGAAGGAGGGCCGAAAAACAGAGTCTACTCTGGCCCTGGCCAGGTAGCTTAGTTGGTTAGAGTGTCCTCCCCATACCCCAAGGTTGTGGGTTTGATCCCTGGTCAGGGCACATACAATAAACCAACCAATGAATGCATAAGTAGATGGAACCACAAATCGATGTTTCTCTCTCTCTTTCTTTCCCTTCTCTCTCTCTCTCAAATCAATAAAAATGTAAAAAAGAATCTATTCTGAAAACATATGCAAATCTCAAGGATCACTACCACAAGCAAACGATCCCTCCAAACAAAAAAAATGTGAACCCCAAATGAAGATATTCAATAGAATGAATATTTGGTATAAACTGAATGGTCTCTTAAAAATAGAGCGTTTCCCAATTACTTTTAAGATATTTAAAACTAGAAATTTTAGATTTCTTTCTTTCTTGATCGTGCTAACGCATGCCTTGTCCTGTTACTAATTTAGAGTTCAGAAAATTCTAATTTAATATTCTGCAATACACTTGAAATAAGGAGTAGATGGGGTAAAAACAAACAAACAAACAAACAAACAAACCAACCAGCAACACAAAACTCAATACAAAAGTTAGACGGGGGAAAAAGCAAAGTGGGTTATAAAAAGAACTCCAAAGTAGAAATCAGGAAGCTAAGCTATATAAGAATTTTATTACTAACTTCCCTCCAAAGGGCAAGGTTTCTGATTTAAGTTTTCAGATTCAAATAAGCCAGCTTTGTAGCTCTGCCTCAAAACAAACAAACAAAAACCACTACTTTGGGAAACTTTTGCAAAGGAGCATTTTGAACGTCAGCCCCCGTATCTAGTCCGCATGTGGGGCAGGGGCATGTGTCCCACAAGTGAAGTCTGTGACGCCAAAGCCATCCCTCAGATGGAGATTAAAAGCAACGTTTCCCTCGCATTGCTTTTCCTCGACGCTGACTTGGGGTGGGGAGACGGCTTCTGCCCGTCTCGTTAAATTAATGACCCCAGACCCAACCCGTCGGCCGGCGCCTGCGGAGGGCGAGACCTGAGCGGGGAAGTCCCACCGCCCCCGAGCGGGAGGCTCCTGCCTGAGACCCCGGGACGT